CTGTTGTTGAACAGAGGTCCTTTCTCCTTATCTTGTGGTAGCCTGCAAGATAGGCAGGATTATCCCTTCTTCGCTGCTTTGTGCGTTCCTCTGAGGGATGTTAGAGGCCACTCRTCAGGCTCCACAACTCCTGTGGTTCTGTCCCACGAACGGAGCTACCTTTGCAGATGGGGGCTGGACTGCCACATGTAATATTTCCTTGCTAGTAGTTCTACTTGGTGTTTGGAAAAACCTCTTCAAAACCTTTATTTTGGCTGTAAATCATGCAACTATAGCCACATTGAGCAGTGGGTAAGAGGAGCCATAGCATATAAACGTATGATATTATCTTGTTGTGACAACTTAGTGGTTTAGATTTATGACTGAGTAACCCCTTTCCAAGAGTGTTTCCCCCATATTGCATACCCAAAACAGCATAGCTTGCGGTTCCTGCCTGGAGATGGTAACAGTCTGTGGAGTTAAACTACTTCTTTAGGGATTAGAGGTTAATTGTAGTTGTTGGTCAGCTAAAAATTGCAAGAATTTAYCATATTTGGAAGTCTGGATAGGGAAACAAGTGATCTAAGCTGTTCAAATACCTCTAGGAGGAATGTTACGGTTTTGTCACTAGAGGGCAGGCGTTTGTCAGCACTTGAGCAAACAGCGTGACATCACGGGGCTCTGAGCAAGGTTTTAACCTCACTGGAAGGTTTGTGTGTAAAACACCATGTGTTCAACTGCCTAGAGAAGTTATTTGTACAGTAGTGAATATAATATAATTTATTTTAATATAGTAGTTTTGTTTTTGCTGTTAATGTATATTTGCAGGCAAACTCATTGTTTATTTTTCCCTTTCTGTACGTGACATTCACTGATCAGGTGTGATTTATAGTAAGGACAGAAGCAGAATTAAAGAAGTGTGTTTAAAAAGAGRATGAATTTTGAAGACATTGTATAGTTAACTGATGTATAGCTGAGAAATTGAAAGTACACAGCAGAATATCTAATGTTGCCATCACATTAGAAAATATTAAGTTACCTGCCAAAGTCTTGTTGTAGTTTTTTGTTTTTCACACTGATATCTGCATCAAGCACAAATCATTATGTCACACAAAAGAGACTAAAAATACTAGAAATGTAGTACAGTTGAAGAGTGAGCAGCTATTTAGGGATTTTACATGACAATTTAGGGAATTTACATGATCATACACCTCAATGGTTTATGATCTGTCTTTCCCTTGCAGTTACGATTTTACCCCGATGGACTCCTCTGCRGTGTATGTGCTCAGCAGCATGGCTCGCCAGCGTCGCGCTTCGCTGTCCTGTGGGGGATCAAACAATCAAGATGCTGAGAGATCAGAATGCAGTAGTAAAAACTGTGCCTCTGCTGCATCGTCACATCTTTCCTCCAATCCTTTGTACAGCAAAGCTGGCAAAAGTCACAGCTCAGGGACTGCAAGTACTGTGAGTGCCACTTCTCCAAACAAGTGCAAAAGACCAATGAATGCCTTCATGCTTTTTGCCAAAAAATACAGAGTTGAATACACCCAGATGTATCCAGGGAAAGACAACAGGTAATGATACAAACTRTGGTTKTGCTCTTACTGGTGAGTTAGCAGAAAATCTATGTCCCACCTTTCTATTTAATTAGCCTAAATTTTGCATTTGAAATAAAATGTGTGTATTTTAAGAACAAGTTTTGATAGATGTTAATATAAAGGGTAATTTATGGGTGGACTGTGAATATTTACAATACTCTGAACTTGATACAAGCCATTTTTGGCAAACTTACCTTCTGAGAAAACACTTGGGTAAAGCAACTGATAYGTGTATATGTGTGCACCGGCAGAGGCACAAATACAGAACAGTCTTTTTTTACAGTGATGAGATGCTCTGCTCATGTGCTRTAATGGAAAAAAGGGAGTTCCTTGTCCTATTTTTTCATAAAGATAGCCATTACATATGTTTTGAGTAATATTTGGTGCTAATTGTGCGTATATAAATAGAAACTAAAACACGTGAATATGGACTGATCTTAGAATCAGATTTTTTAATGCATGTAATTTTATGAAAATTGTTACTGTAAAAACTGCATTGTGACATAAAAACTCTAGAACAAAATCTGATAAAAATTAAAATTGACAGGGCTTTGAAAAGGTTTTTACTATTTTATGATGTTCTTATAAGGAGACTATAACTGGTGTTGAGATTTAAAATCCTGCCAGGCAAATCCCAGCTAGTCTTGTGTGTCCTGACAGTGAATTTTTGTAATGGTTATGGTAAGTTCAGTGAAGCACATCTTCTGCCTTCATTGCAACTATCAGTGAGAAATGCAATAGAATGTCAGCCAGRAAAGTTTACGATGGTTATATATTTAATTGAAAATGCTGATTTCAAATGGATGCAGTGATTTGGAGCTGCAGCTGCATGGATGTGAAAATGAGCTGAATTTTTCAGTGAGCAGGTGTACCTTGAAGAGAGTGATGACAAAGTTACAAGTAAGCTTCAGAATGCACTGCTCACTGTCCTGCTTGGAAGGTAGTGTGTTTGGGTGCGGTTTTGGGCATCCACAAAACACACGATGGCAGAAATAGCTTTGGTGATAATTAATACAGGCATTCAGCTACTATCACACAGGTATTGCTGAAGCATTCATGAATTAAGCTGTGGGGAGGCAACTCTCGTGTTTTTTAAATGTGAGTTTGTGCCATTTTCAGTTTACTGTGTAGATCTTACAATGTAATAGCTGCTTCTGTACTGTGGAGATCTTATAYGTGCTGCATTTATTTCCTTACGGGAGTAAGGACAGAACTTGAGGTACTCTGAGTTTAACAGTCTGTTGTGAGACAAAGCAGCTYCAGGCATGTCAGCAAGACAGTGAGCTTGTAAACATTCAAAGCACGAGTCAAGAGTCATGCGATACTTGAAACTACTGTGGACTGCAAGGCAGTGTTTGAAAAACTGGTGTTAGGGCTGACCTTGTTTATTTTCTAGATGTTCTTCACTGTAACATTGTAACCGTAGTTGGACTTGGTTTGTGTTCAGAAATTCTTCGAATAGTGGACCTTCTAGAGATGAGGAAAATAATATTTTTGTTTTGAAATACAAAGTTTTCATGGTGCATTTTTATTTGGAAAGGCATAGGCTTTTACAGCTGATTTGCTCTCTCTGCATCACCATGTTCTTTCCTGAGGGTGTGTGTGATCCAGTACAAGCTGGTGACCCAGAGCAGACAGGTTTCTTGTGATATGCTTCTGGATACTGTCAGAACATGAAAGATCTGCTAATTAAATTGGGTGTGTTTGCTTCTGATGACAGACCAAAGATACTGGTTTTCAGTTTGGATATAAAACCAGAAATTCCACTGCCAAAGAGACAGGCTGTGCMAATGGGTTTGATGGTGATGGGATCTGGTGTCCCCTTGAGTTTGCTGTAAGGAGTCACCAGAGCACGTGACAGCACAGGCTCAAGGGCTGTCTGGGATGTGGTCCCCAAGTTCTCTGCAGCTCGTGGAAACCTGAATGGCACCACATGGCCTTGCAGGATTCAAATCCATTTTTTTGCTGTGGTGTAGAACAGCYATCTTAATTATAGCATTGTGCCTTGTTACAGAAATAGTAGATGACAGTCTACTTGTCTTGATTCAGTCTGAGTATCTTTAGTGCCAGAAAGTAACTTACTAATAGGARAAAGAAAAGGGACTTAGTTATGTCCACCTTTTTCTTTAAGCCAGTCACAGGACTATTATTGCTGTAATTTGAAGCCAAAGTGTACTAACTGTGTGGTAGCTCTAACTGTCATCGATAAAAAAGCTGTTGTTTAGAGATTTTCATTCAGCTAAAGGACAGAGTTAAAGCTTTAATGGAATATTGATCCAACATTTGGGAATGCAGTTAAGCAATATGGCAGGATAATACAGGGGAACATTGTCAAAAGACCTAGAGTTTATAAGGAAAGAAACTAATTTAATTCTGGAAATGGTGAGAGATATGTTAGAACAAATGGTTCCCTTTGCACAGGAATGGGAACTTGATCAGTATGTTCCACCTAGGAAGGATTAAAGGTGGACTAAGCTACAGATATTGATTAAATAGACATGGGGACATGCAGTTAATCAAATATTTGGCTGAGGTCRTATTCAGTTCATTGCTCTAATTATTAGAGAACATATTTTCAGCAAATCTGTCATGATCTTCTAGTATGAAAGTAGAGCAAAACAAATGTGAGTTACCATTTGGTGGTGGTTTTTTTAACATCTCTATTTTGCTGGTTTATGCCAGTTGCTGTGTATTCAAATGTACACCCTTTGAAATGTTAAAATGTGCATTGACCCATGCTCAGCTAACACAGAAGTCTCAGCTGTTTAACAATTAAGATAACTATGAGAAGACAATCAATTCTACAAATATGATCATTTAAAAAAAATCTAAGATACAGTTGATTTCTTCCTTGTGTTTTATTTCCACATTTAACTCACATCTTCTTTAAAGTGCTCAGATAAAAAACAAAAAGAAAAATCAGTGCATTTCTTAGCATTGTCCTGACTGTGCTGTAAACATTTATCTTGCAGAGCCATAAGTGTGATACTCGGCGACAGGTGGAAGAAAATGAAAAATGAGGAAAGAAGGATGTACACACTAGAAGCCAAGGCCTTGGCAGAGGAGCAGAAGCGTTTAAATCCTGACTGTTGGAAAAGAAAAAGAACAAAYTCTGTATGTTTGTGAAGCAGTGCTTTTCTTTATGCAGTTGCATGTGTCAGATGGGTAGCTACAGTGTGTTTTGTTCAGAATAAGCTRCTTTCTTAGTAGCTGAAACTTTCATTTTCTTCCCTGTGTTGTGTAACCTGCTTTTGGCAGTTTGGCAGGAATCAGATCAGGAGAAGGTCTGTCTGAATATTTTATGAGAGTTCTATGAATTCTGTTYTGTAAGTATGCTTGTGAAATGCAGAGAAAGGGCACCTGGTCTTTCGCTTTGAAGTGAGTTCATAAGCTTGTACCTAAACTTTTTCCTTCCATAAAAGCTATTTCTTTACCTTTTACTATTTTTCTTACTCATAATTTATATCAGCATGTATGAAGATACTGAGGGAGCAAAGTAATTTTTCCCCATGAGTCTCTTTCATTTGTTACTCTATTCAGTTGTAAAAGAAATACAGTAGATAACACTACTTTTCTGTAGGGAAATAAATTTTTTTCCACTTTGTAGAAAGCCATCAATCTAAGAGTCTGCAGCAATGTATTAGYAGGTTGTGTGTATATTAAGAAAGAGAAGTGCTTTCAACCTGAAACATCATGTAAAMCAAACATCAAAGAAAGGAGATTTTGTGTGTTCAACTAGAAGGATAGATTGAAMGGAAAGATCCAGAGGTGCCTGGAGTGCTTGCCAGGTTCTTCCATTTTATGCCTGGGTAGGAGCTTGAAGTGTGGTATGGACTTCATCCACATTGCTGTTGAAACCATTCATCCATGTGGTGTAAGATTTCATCCTCAAGTTACCCCCTTTCCTTTCATGTGTAAATGAGGCTTCTTTCTCAAGAGCATATGCAAGTGTTGCCTTAAAACTGAGTAAGAAATCCTCCAATACTGAGTTGCTTCTTTCTTCTGCACATACTTTGTGCAGTTTCCAGTCCCTTGTTGCAGAAGGTTCCACCAAATCCCAGCTGCTACGAACAAGCTGTTTCTCTGTTCACTGCATTCTATTTTAATCCACAGTCACAGCTTCTGTTAGATGTCCTTGTGGGTTTAGTTAAAATAATATTATTTATTTATTCTGCTCTTACATTACTGCAGTTTTAGGCTTTGGATGGTGAGATCATAGGCTCACTGTGAGCTTCCAGCAACTCAGAGGCATGTTTATGTGTAGCCGAGTAGTGATGCTTTGGCCTCAGTAAAGGTTTTCTATCCTGCCTTGAAGTAGGATTTTCTTTGTCCCTACAGTCTTCAGGYCAAGAGAACAGGATCTATAGAACCTGTTACCTCAGTATTACAGCAGGAAATASCCTTTATAACTGTTTTAGTTCAATCAGCTGAACTGTTAGTAGTCTGGTARCCTTAGGAATGACAGTGAGCTCCAGGCTGTGACAGATGTTGTGCTGGTTTTTTGATGATCAGGGAATAAAAGTGTCTGTTTTGGTYGTTTTCTTCTGAATAACTGATCAATGATTGGAAATACTTGTGGTTGTCAAAACAAGTGTTTGGTGCCCCYTTGCATGGTAATCACTAACTTGGTTTTCTCTTCTCTTTTCTCAGGGCTCACAACAGCATTAAGCCAGAATTTTCCTGTTAACTCTGTATGTACAAAATGGCTGTTGCTTGATGGCAAGAAGATGCAAGATCGAGGTCTTACTATTTGTTGTGACTGYGTGTGACCATAAAATACTGGCACCATCATGGAAATGATCTGAGTGCAGATTTGCTTTTTACAATAGAACATTAAGTAAGCTACAAACTATCAGCATTTTAAACCAAATTGCCTTATTTCTCTTCCAAACTTCATTATGTATCAGGTAATATAGGCTTGAAAAATGGATATCCTGTGGTGCTAAAGTACTTTAGAAAGAGGAGAAGGAGATATGTATAAATGTTTATTTTTAAAAGAAAATGTACAAAAAGGGGAATTTTAAAATATGTAACAGCTGTTTATATACATTGATTCTTATTGCTGATTAATATGTATTGCACAACTGTATTATTAATTGCGATTCTGGGGCCTGGGATTTTCTGAAATGGCAAAGTGTATGATCAGCCTGCAGCTTCCCAACCTGCCCTGCTGCCAGCAAGTTACCAGAGTGTGGGAATGGAGAGTATGATGTGATGTAGCAAGAGAGCTGCTGCTCGGGATGCCACTTAGAAAACTTACATCCACAAGGGACATATTTTTGCATCTGCTGGCACTAATGAGAGCTGTCATTTCGTGGTGGAGATAATGGCCCTGACAGGATGAAATAAATAAATAGCATTATCTCAAGAAAAGTGGTGCTGTTGATATCATCACCATCATAGTTATAACTCTGTGTTTTGTCTTTGCCACATATTCTACAATATTTTATTTTGCCATAAGACATCTTTATGGTGGGGGCAAACTTTGCACTTAACTATATGTGCAACACTTGCACTTTACTTTTTTTTCTCCTCCAACTGTCTAAAATTAGAGCAGCTGTGGTAGGATTACAATTGCTTCTGCTGTGAACATTTACAATCATGGCTTTTCCTGTACTAAACAGCTGTGCGTTGTTTTTTTTAAGAATCACAACTGTAAATTTCAGTTTATGACACGTCTACATGATGTTGCCCCTAAGATTTTTGCACACTATATTCTTGTATATTATTTCAAATAAATTCATTAAAATTTGGTGTTGCGTATTTTATTAAATGAAGAAGACTAATCATGAAGTCAGCCCTGCAGCAATGAGCATGTTCTGCATGGAAGTCTTTACATGAACCCATCCAATTGCCATTAGAAAGCTAGTGAAGAATTTCAAATACTGTTTTCAGGATTGGATACTCAATGTTCTTTATTACAGTTTAAGCAAAAAGAGTTGAAATCAATATAAATTATTTCTAAGAAATAGCAATGCAATAGAGAATCATTTAGGTTAGTTATAAATATTTTTCCTTGTGTTAAAATTAGTGATTTTTAGATGGAAACTGATGATTCAAACATTTCAAAAGTACAATTTTCTGAATACGGCTGAAATGTATTCAACTGTTTAAAACTATACTTGTAGGAAAAGAGCTGCTTCCTTATTTGAGATATTCAGCAATTACACTGTTACATTTGAGTTCTAATTTTATACTTTTCTAAATTCAAAAGGAATGCTTAAGAATGTTTCAATTAGATGTAGACTTAGAGCACATAGAAGTTGTACAATTTCCTTGCAATATTTCTGTATAAGTTCCTGTAATATGAACATAAAGCAAGAAGGCAGAAGTTTCAGACATGAAGGAGGTAAACACATTTCATTGTAAAGTTGATGTACTTGGGGATAATTTACATGAACAAGAAATACACGTGACACCAAAGCCTCCACTGKGTTACCATCCATTCTCTGGTGTGAAAGCATTGTCCAGGTGTGTTCACTGAAGGGTTGACATGGCTTTCTGCAGCAGCTGAACCATTATGGGATAGACTGGTGCAAACTCCTTTCCCTCTCTCGTTCTGACTGACTGAACATAAGCTTCCAGTGCAACACTGAAAAAAAAAAAAAAAAAAGTACAGCTAAAGCAATTAAGTACTGTAAATTCAGGATCTGCAATTGAAATTAATTGCTGTCTTCCCTCCTGCAAAATTTTCCTCAGATGGTCCTACTTGTCTGGGGAAGGAAGTGAGAAAGGGRGGCCCTACAAAGCTCTACATAATTGTTCCATGATCTTTCTCTCCTTTCTTGCATGTTTTGAGGCGCAAACAAGTTAACATTTAAATAAGCAGCAGCATGTTGCAGATGGCTTGAAATGACAGCTCTGACGCACAGACTCGGGCTCAGTGCTGCACTGGTAACCTTTAGAAAGGGAGAGAATAATCTCCAGCTGCTGCAGACGCTGAGAGTGCAGCTTCCAGCRTGAAAACTGGGGCACTGGTGAACAACTGCCATGCCCTGAGGTGATTCCTGGCACAGACTTTTGAACTCCCGCCRTCCTCGGAAAATGCCACGCTAACCCTGGACAGGGCTTGGGCAAGGCACGGCTTGGCTCTCTTACACATTGTCACAGGATGTCACATGCAGAGGCATCATGTGTGAACTGCACAAATAAAACATTGCAAAGCTAAAAGGGGCAAGTTGACGTACTTGTCTGTACGTAATTTAAGTTGCTTTACAACACGGGGTCACCTTTCAGCCAACATTCTAGTGCACAGTATTGTTGAGYGACAGCATATTTGTAAAACAAACACTAAGTACTCATCTGTTGMGATTCCAACTTACTAATTCATTAAGTAGGCCAAGCTAGTGTTGTCACACTTAAATATAGCTTTGAATTTAATTTTCTTCTCCTTTTCTGCTTCTGTTTCTTTATGTAACTGATACAATCACCTTGGAATCTCCTTGTTTATATTTGTGCTATTTACAGCAAAACTGTGACATTAAGAAAACAAAACAACAGACCCCATTTCAAGTGGAGATTAAGACAGCTCCTGGTACCTGGCKATTCCTCTTCTGGTTGGTGACAACTGCAGTGCTAATACAGACTGTCACCACAGCCCTTCCCAGCACTGGGCAGGTGTCCTGCTGTAAATCTGGTCACTGAGCAGGGAGTGGTCCTGGGTTTTGTCTCCCCCATTCCTTTCTGGAAGAGCAGGATGCACCAGCTCAGCTGTCTGCCAGTGAGGGAGCCYGCTGGCTTTCAGTAACATGGCAGGAACATTCCCAGTCCCACTGGGAGCAGGCAGATGGTTGTTGTGCACATCTGGTGAAGGGGGTGGGGGGCACAGGGGTCAAGGGAAATGGTAACTCAGAGCAACTGCAGTGTTGTGCCTATAAATACACACCAACTGCTGTAGGATGGTGGGCTGTGGAGGCAGAGCTGTATTTATGTTTGCTGCTCCTTCCAACAAACAAGTCTTTGGTGGAACCCTGCATTCCTGCATGAAGAGCTCACTAAAGCAGCGCTGYTCCCCAGTACTGCTGGCAGCTGGCAGCGATGGCCTGGCCGTAGGCYGTGAATCAGGAAAGGCTTAAGGAAAGCAAAAGAACTCAAGAGTGAGATTCAGCTCATGTTTCACACACCCAGGCTCCTCTTGAGTAAGATGATAAGACAGGAGCAGCCAAGATGATTTCTGTGTGATGCAGATGCAGCCCTGGGAAGCCTCAGATGAGCCCACCAAACCTGACAAACCACAAGAGRTGCAGGGTTGCAATATACTTGGGTGCCTGTGAGTAAAGCTGCTGCTGCATCAGCAAGGGCTTGGGGCTTAACCCGTACTCAGTGACTCGAACYCATCTGTGTCAGAGCATCCCTGGGAATCTCCAGCAAAGTTCAGTAATTAGCAAGTGGAAGATGCTCCTGAGGCCAAGAGCCTGTGCTCTGTTTGCTGGAGAGACGAGTCTGAGCTTTTGGTTCTGAGAAGCCGCTGACAGCAATGACAGCCCAGCCCCATGAGCTGGTCCTGGGGCTGCTCCTGCTCCTGCCAGCACTTCCATCCCCAGCAGTGCTGGCCCTGCTCCGTCAGCCTCGCTGCCAGAGCACACCAGGAGCAGCTGGCTGTGCCCTTGTGCAGTCCCTGCTAATGGAGTTTGACAGGGAGAGAGTGAAGCGTGCAACTGTGCAACCAAAGAACCCGAGGCAGCTTCACTTCTGAGCACAGAATGTGAATGAAACAGCACAGGCACGAGGTGATTCACACCACAGCTCCCAATGTCCCTGTGCAGCATCCAGACTTCACAGCCCCTGTCTGCTTATTGTCTGAGACTGGGGGGACAAGACTGAGGGGACACAAAAGAAGCATGGACTGGATTACTGGAGAGTTAAGAGGCTTCMGAAGAATAAAGTTAAATAAAGCACAGAAACAGTTCCTCATATTGGCCTTGGTGCACTTGAGAGTGCTTCAGTTTTGGTAACTTACTCATCAGCTGCTGTGGAGGGGTCCACACCAGGTACCAACACACTGTGAGGTGTCCCTGAATTTTCTGCACAGCAACAACTGGCAGCAGAGAATCAATCYCTTGTTACAGGCAGAAAGGCAGGGAAAGAATATTTATTTTGTCTATCTAAAGTAAAGCTGACTTTTTGCACCTGGACAGCTCCCTGAAAACTATCAGCCTGCTTCTTCCCARTSGTCCCTGGGGAGCAGCACAGGGTCSACAGGGAAAGAGGCAACTACAAAACTGGTGATGCAGCCACAAAGTGCTTTGGGTGCAGCTCACTTTACTCCCAGCAAAGGCCATCAGCATCATGAACTGCAGAGAGATTAGCACATCCACAGGTATMTTTTAAATCCAAAGATTTAAGAGGGAAAAAGTGAGACTGGGGAATGGGATAGYAGGAAATCATGCTTTTTAGCTAAACGGGCCTCTTATAGCAATGAGGAGCCAGCATATGATGTGCAGACTGAGCAACAGGTGGGAGATGTAGGGAGAGAACATGCAAGGATGACATCAAGGATGCAATCYTGATGAGGGGAGATATTTCAGGAGTCGGAAGTGTCTCACATTTCCGCTCAGGTCAGCTCAAGTGTTCTGGTCAGCAGTAATTGTTAAATATGTTAGTTACCTGTTAGAAAGAATAGCCCCTTGTGTTAAAAAAAAAAAAAAATTGAGAAACTTCTGTGACAGTTTTTTTTTACTGCAACTGTCATTCATCTTGCTAAATCTCTCCCCTTCCACTCAGCAGTGTCCCTTCTTTTCATTTCTATACACTCCTCGAACTTTGTTGGGCTCAAATAGTTTTCTGAAGTCATCAAAAGATGAAAATAGAAAAAAAACACATTGACCTGCTTAACTTAGAAAGCTCTAACACCTCTTGGTGAAGTTGTGGGATGGCATCATTATCCAGATGGTAACACTGCTATCCCTTAAGTGACTTATCTCCTTGCTTTGAAAAAGCCCTTGAAAAAGATTACAGAGATAACCAGATAGATGAAAGGGAGAAGCTTTACCCTAAAAGCAGCACCYAAAATCACTCAATGTCAGCCCTTGATAATCCTTTGCCAGACTGTWATTCCCACCAGATCAAACAAGTGGAATGAGATTTAGGCTATGCTAAGTGCCACACACCAGCCTTACAGTCCCATTGTCACACCTTCTAGTATCTTTTATCTTCTATCCTTCTCTCATGCCCCAAAAGAATCTGATTTTAATTGCCAAAACCAACTCCATCAGTGGCAGCTAAAAGGATCCTTCTGCTGCACTTGCTCTTTTACTGTGGCTTTGCTGGAGTCAAACTTCACCATTATGACCAACCTGGGAGCATCTTAACTCTCTCACCCACTCCAAAGACAACCAGTAATATCAACACCATAAGGTGAATTCTCAGGTCTTTTTCTATAACAGACCTCGTACAGCTTTACACTAAACAATGAAAACAAAAGCTCTCTGAACACTCCAACCGCATTCACCATTTTCCTGCATCTAACATTTGCATCTTCAATTGCAGTATTTAAACACTCTGAAGCTCAACATGAAAGAGCCATTCAYAATCAGTAGCTTTACCTGAAATACTGGAAGAACAGTGTTTCTGGTAAAGCAAACTGGCCTAGACAACTCCCTGCTCCCCATGCCCACCCAGGGAAGGCAGGGAGCCTGCTCCCACATGAAAGAAGCCACAGGGAGAATGAAAAGCTGCTGCAGATGCTAAAAGCTGTGAGCAAAGAGGCAGCCACAGTCACCTGGAGCTCCACACCCTAGCAGGTGACAAAGGTATCATGATCAAGCAAAGGAAATTCTTCTGCATTGCTGCCTGTGGGAATGACACCAYGGTGGCAGACCAGGATGTTTGTCCACCCTGTTAGGAGCAACATTCCTGGTAAGGAAAGGTCCAGGTAGCAAAATGGCAAAAATCATAAATCCTGGAGAAAGGCTGTTTGGAGGCCRGAGAATAATGGTGAGTTTGCTCCAGAGCAAGAGTTGGGCTGGAAGAGGTAACTGAAAGCCAATGGTCATAGAGTAGTCATGGTTCCAGAAGTTCATTTGGGTTGGGAATTTTGTTTTGCTGAAGACAGTTAATAAGTCTTAGGGGTGGGATATTGGGACTGCAACATACAGGAATATGGACAGTGCAGGAAGTTACCTGTGGCAAAGCAAGGTGGTTGCTGCTGCACACAGCCAGACTTCAGTGCAGCCTGCCCGARMCRGGCARCTTGSAACATCACTGGAGCTGCTGGGAAGSCTACCTGATTCTAATTTGGGGAGATAAATGAGTTCAGGGGCTTTGTTAACACTTGAAATGCAGAATTTACTATGAAGTTTTGGTAAACTTCAGCAGTCCTAGCTCAAATGAGCTTTTGTAAACTATGCTGGCAGTACGGGACTCAATTCAGATTCACCCGTTTACCATTAAAATCTTGTCTTTAAAAAGGCAGGCTSACTCCTGTTGAGGACACTAAAAACACCACTGCCAAAGTAGCTGTGGAAAAAGAGTGAGCGCTATAGGTGAAAGCAGTATCATGAAGTCTCCAGCACAGAGGAGATCACGGCTGTTGTCATATAAAAAGATGTCATATATAGTTATATTACTGTTGTTTAAGATGGAAGAAACCCTGTTTATGTAATGTACAAAACATACTCTTGAAGGGATTAGACTAAATAGTGTCCTAAATTCAGCATCTTCTAGTCTAATAAAGGACATAAAACCTGTTCAGCAATCTGTTTCTATTTTAAAAGACAAGCTATGGTATACATTACAAATATTGTTTGTAAAAGAGAGCTGCGGAAGGAGGGTTGGTGGGATGTTCTGCATATATTAATGCTTCATTAAAAATGCCATAAGAAGTAAGGGGGAAAAAAAGCCCTAAGTTTAAGATGCCCTCCCACATAAGGAAAAGGATTTTAAAGCACTTATTAAATTACTTCACTTGCATGAGCAAAACCATGAGCTTTCTTGGAAATCAGGACAAGCTGATTATATAAGACCCTGATAGTTCTTCTTTAAAATGTTATTTCAACCCATGAAGAGTTATATCTAGAGTTAAAAGGAAAAAAAAAAAAGGAAGTGCGATTTGGGTTGTCGTTCTTAAGGGATTTTAATGCGTATCATTTAGAATTACTCTAATTAATTAATTTTATAGGGAACTGTGAATCCTAGCGCCACCCTCCTGGGCTCTGCCTTGGTCAAACGGAGTCTGATTTACATGCTAAGCTTCAGAAGAGGCAGCGATCATCTTTCTGCTCAGCAGTGGGGCTGCACCCTKTGCACGCCTGTCCCCATCAATCAGCAGGGCAGCTGGAGCCAGACTTTTCTTTAGTACTTTGTTTAAAGTCTGTTTGCTCTGCAAACTTTACGGTAGAGCAGAAATGGRAAATGTGCTGTGTAAGAGCACATCTGTCTGACTCTACGTCTATTTAATCCAGTGCTACAAAAATTACTGTAAAGCCGAACGCTAAAATCTCCAACAGCATCACCTGTAGGACAAGAGAGGAGCAGCAGAATCTGCGGTTATCCCCGACTGCACAATGAAGACATCAAAGGGGCCGTCCTGACAGGGACCCCTCGGTGACAGCGGGGTTTTTGTGAATGGGCGGCAGCGCTGCCGCCTCCCCCGTTCCTTCCCTTCCCTTCCCTTCCCTTCCCTTCCCTTCCCTTCCCT